TACGTTTGGTGACTTAGCGAGTAGCTAAATGAGGCAGGAGATGATGCAATGGGTGTCTGAATGGCCAATATCTCCTCACTTGGTAGAATTTGACTTCCGATTCCCACTTGTTGATAGGGGTTAACCATATGGGGGTTCCCTTTGTATGTCCTTGCTTCGGCAGAAGCGTGGTTGTAAGCTTGTGCCATCACCTCAGAGTAAGTCTTCCAAGTGTTGGCATTGATCATGTACTTGAAAAAACAATCACGTAGGCCTGCCGTGAAGGCCTTGAAGGCAGTCTTGTCATCTGCCTCAGCGCAGCGAGAATAATCATGGCTGAAACGACCGGCATACTCTCATAGTGACTCGTCCGGCTTCTATCGAACAGTGAACAAGTCATCTGCAGAATGCAAGCGATCGGTCTGGAAGATGTGTTAAGAGAAAAACAGTTTCCTCAATTCCTCAAATGAGTCTACTGTTTCAGGTGGAAGACGGCAATACCAGTTTAGAGCTCCGCCAGAGAGGGTGGAGGGGAAGAGAAGACATCACTCTTCGTCAGTGTGCATCCGATATGCCATGGTGGACTCAAAAAGGTTAAGGTGTTCAATTGGGTCCTCCCTTCCAGTATAGAGTTGTAAACTAAGCTTTTGTTTTGTCTTTGCTTGAATTGGGTGTCGAGGATCCTTCTTGTGAGAGGGCCAGGCCTGGGTTGGTTCCAGTCAAGTATCTCGGCCTGACGTTCGGCCTTCAACTTGTTTACTTCCTTAAGGAGCTGTAGGACAAGGGGGTCCTGAATGGAGTCATGTACCACTGGAATTTTCTTTCATAAGTCTCCATCGCCTCTTGGAAGTAGGAAAGTTTGAGCAAGGGCATGTGGTTTGTTCTTAGACTCGCCGTACTGACTTCTAAGGCGAGTCTATCAGAATACCTCAGAGTCCCCTGTACCTTCATATTCCTCTGAAACCTGTCGTTTCTTCCCAAGATTGGCAGTTGGTCTGGGTCATGGGAGGGGACTGAGTCTTTCAGAAACCCTTGGGTCATTGATCTTCGAGCATATATAGAGGGGATTCTCTCGACGTTGCTTTAGGAAGTCTCGGCAGTCACGCTAAATGACTTTCGATCCTTCCAACCCTTCTGCAAGAATGTGTCTTTGTCCACTTCTTCTGCTTCGGGTCGAAGCATCTGGGTTGAGAGAAGTCTCATGTTGATCAATGTTTTGATGATTAGCTCGCTCCTCATCAGGGATACCCATGTCGAAAGGAGGTAACCCTCCGTGTTAAGGGGCACCCAAATGATGGTTGATGTCCACAGGGGTAACGAGCTCGCGTGTTTGAGTACACCTAGTTTCGTGGAGTGTCTCAAAGAGCTTCTCATACTGCTCTTGGAGGACCTCATTCTTCATTGCTATGTTGTTGTTCTGAGCTTCTAGCTCGTCAACTTTAGCTTGAAGAACAACCCTCTTTTCTTCCTTCTTTCGTTGCTTCGCACTAGGTGCAAGAGGGGTGTCATTCTGTGTGCTGTGGCTTCCTTCGCTCCCCATGTTGGAGAGGGATGCCTGGTCAAAATGGAGTGTATGAATGGTGGAAACCAGCTTGGCAAAGCTGAAGAGAGTTGGAATAAGTATCGTTCCCACAGACGGTGTCAAATGTTGATGCACAAAATCAGCGAGGACTTTGGTACAACAGAAAATGTTAAGTTTGTGACCTTTCCTAAATTGCTCCGGTCACTAGTATGGATAAGTATGTAAATGGATAGAGACAGAGAAGCAAACACAAGATGTACGTGGTTCACCCAGATTGGCTACGTCCACGGAGTAGAGGAGTTCTCATTAATTGTGAAGGGTTTACACAAGTACATAGGTTCAAGCTCTCCTTTAGTGAGTACTAGTGAATGATTTAGTACAAATGACATTAGGCAATATTGTGAGAGAATGATCTCTATTTATAGAATAGAGTTTCTAGTTTCATCCTGACATTGACACGTGTCGTGTTGTGATTGGCTTCTGATGTTGACACATGTCGCGCTATGATTGGCTTCTGATGTCGACACGTGTTGTGCTGTGATTGGCCTCCTGGTTGGAGGGAAACTCTTCTGGGTCCTTGACGGTATAACGTTGATTGATGCTCAGTAGTTTCAGGATTGGTCAAGTATGGTACAAACAAACCGTGATAGCACAAATTAACCATCAGATTTTCCTTAACTCATTGAATTGGATGGAATACACATCGCAACCAAATTATCCTTATCAAGTTCCCTAACTATGAAAAGCATGATAGAAAGACATATCAAAGGTCATTAAGTTCTTTGAAAACCATAAGCATTTACGAAGCATTCGTAACTATGAAAAGCATGATATTCCTGCCTAGAATTTACTTAACACAATCATGACTAGTGACTTCCACTACTTGTGAATATAAGTTCATAACAATTAGGTGAAACTCCCTTATACTCTAGCATCAAATTCATGCATGCAAATTAAGTGTCGACCCTCAGTCTACATACATAAACAAGTTTTGATAACTCAGATAAGCAAATCACATTTAAGACTCAAGAAACAATAACTGAAGGTAATAAATTCATATAAAACATATGTCCATGGCTTCGAATTCACCTCTAACTAAAACGGAATTAGTTCCTCATGTTTGCAGAAATTAACAACGAAATCAACACAATTGTAAAACTAAAACAAGGATAGAAGACACCCCAAAGACGCTCCAGCACTCCCAAAAGCTTGGGCATAGGCACGGCACAAAGGCTTCTCCTTTCCTTCCTTCCCCTTGCTACAACACTTGATGAATTTCTGTGTAATTGGTGTGAATTGTGGTGTAGAAATATATGGGGGTGGTGTTTGAATTGTGCCGCAGAAAATATGTATATATAGGCCTAGGGAACTTGGCACAAATCCTGAGATGAGAAGGATAAATTTTGACACAATTCTTGAAGGAAAAGGACTAGGGTTTGGCAGAAACCAAGGAGGAAAGGGACTAAGAACCTACGGCAAATTCTAGACGTTCTAGAAAGGGTCCAGGCGCCAGATTTTTAGGAAAAGAGATAAGGCTTCTAGAATCATATTTTTATGTGTCCAAGTCTGAAAATAATCCCCCTTTACAGTTGGAATTAAGGTATGATAAGATTAGGCTATGATAAGATAAGATAAGGTTAGTTTGGATAAGATAAGGTTGGATAAGGTTTGGATAAGATAAGGCAATTTGGATAATGTCTCCTTCTATTGAGCTGATTCCTTATCTTCAATGTCTTGAATTAATTTCTTCAACTCTTTAGCACATTCCTAGCCTCTCTTGAACTTCAAATTTGTCCATTCCTTGTGCTCCATATGTAAGCTATCCATTCCAACCCAAAAATGCTTTAAAATGCTCCAAAATGCACTTTCTTGCCAATTTTGTCATTTGGACTTACAAACACATGAAAATAGCTTAAATCACTATAATAAACAGAAACTAACTATGAAAATGCAAGAAAACAAGCTAACTAAGTTGCAAAAATATGCTCCTATCACACAACTTATTAGAAGTCATAAGGCGGTGATGACCGCACCCCGTTCGATTCCCTCGCCTCCTACTGCAGCCGCCACTGCTCCAGCAGAAATGGACCCCAGGCCGGCCAATTTGTTGGATCTGGTTGATCTAGTTGGTCCCTGGGTCTCCCAGGCATGGTTACCTCCCCCCCCCCCCGCCCCCGCACCCGCATGCCCAACATGACATCGGCATCCACTACTGATGCCTCGGGGTCACAACCAAGTTAAACAACTCCCTATATTTCCTTGTGAATTTAGTCCAAATAGGGGCGACCCGCTATTAGAATGACATTTTGATCAACCAATGTGCAAAAGGAAGACACTTTGAGCGACCAATGTGCAACAAAATGACAATTTGAGCGACCAACTTTTGTTCGTCGCGCAAATAGTTAAATGTAGTAGTGTGTCTATATAGCTCACCAAAATGAGTTTGCCTATTCAATTCAATTGTCTACACCATTGCATTAGAGATGCTTATGCGCTATAAATTTGTTTGATAAACTTCAATATAAAGTGAACATGGCACGCTTAATGTCACATCCCGGCCTAAAGCGGACAATATCGTGCTACGGTGGTGGAACGGGCCCGGGAAGGATCCTAGAATCAAGGCGTGACGGTCAGCACGCCTTGATTCTAGGATCGGGGTGTGTCACCTAACAAGAAGTTTAACAAGTTTCCAAAAAAAAAAACATGAAATTCAACAAGAAATGAGGTTTTTTCGACCAAAAAGAAAAAAGAACAAAAAGGAAAGAACAAGGCACGCCTAACTAAATAATGATTTATTTAGACTTGCATACCAACGTGTTAAACGGAAACCTAAATTAAAACTAAAAAAAAAAATTATTTATCAAATTTAAAAATAAAAAAAAAGGTAAAAACCAAAGAAACAGAAAGAAAAACCTACATTAAAAATATGAAATTAACCACGATTAATTCGTGGATTTGAGTGGTCATAACCTTAGATTTTTTGTAATTATTAACTTATTTTTTATTGCTTCGTACTAAGGATTACAATCGCAAACTTGGACCTTTTGGCAAGCTAGGAAGGCAGGCCAGCATTGAGATCCTAACTTCTAAAACAATTTCCTTGTAATTTACACATATATATAATTAATAGCCCCACCTCCATGAGTATGAAATGTCAACCATTAAATCTTAATCCAACAGTTGATATATGGCCATGAATTTTAGCCAAGAATTAACAATAGTATAGATTAATACAGAGAGAATATTGAACGTACGTATCTGTTTCCCTATGTACGTAAGCTAGAAGATAAAGATAAAAGAAAGAAAAGTGGAAAATAAGTCCAAACTTTCAAATATATGACCCCGCACAATGAACCCATAAATAGTCATTATGCATTTAGATATAAAATATGTTTTGGTTGAATGAACCGGGACATAGACAGAAGAGTCAGGGGTTTGACGGAGACAAAGGCTACAGCCACCTAACTTAATATCTGTTTTCCGAGGTACCACTACTACTACTACTTCTCTTCTCCATTATTTTATTTCATTTTCCTTCACATTTCGCTTTCACTTCCATTCGAGTCCTCTTATCTTAACCTAGAAACCAATCTATCTGTCCCAACACCTTCACGCTCATCAAGTCCTCTTGCCTCAGAAGCTCCGGCAAGCTTGCTTTATATCCGTCGAGAGTTTTGTCCTCAATCGGAAAGTAAACAACTATACCAGTCAAGTAAGCAAAATCCTGGACCTCTTTACTAATATATGCCCTAATTTATCAATATCTTGACTACATGTTCTTGTTGTATCATTTGGCTTTGAAGCCAGGCGTACGTGTCGATGCTACAACCATCGACGGCGACTACGCTACATGAATTGGATTCATGGGTGGTGTATGTACTTCCTCCAAGAGACTACTCAACGACAATATAGGTGTGTGCAGAGTTTGATGTTGAGGTACTTTAGCATCATATCGGTCATGTTTTTGATCGTTTTGACTGTGTTTCTTGTGGTACTACCGCTGCTTTTGCCACCACTACCACCACCGCCTTTAGTGCTTCTCTTTATTCCGGTTCTGATCATGGCAGTTCTCATTTTACTGGCGTTTTCTCACTTGTCGCAAGTTCCAAATATGGCCGTCGTTTCTGTTTGATATATGAGTATAAATGATGAGGCAGGTTTCAACATTTCATATTCAATGTTATAAAACCCCCTCAACCCTTAATTTCTTTTATTTTATCTGAAAATATATCTAATGGATATTATTAAACATGTTGAGATTAATGTAAAAAAAAACAAAAACAAATTCAACAATATACGTGTAAAGAAATATATTCTCAGAACTTCTTTTCTTTCGGACTCCTGATTTAAGTACACAGTTATAGTCAATAGAAATCATGAATAATGGTGATGCTGGTTATAAAGGGGCCTTGCCTTTGAAATTTTGAGATTTCAGCTTTATATGTTTGATTCAGAATTTTTTCAATATGAAGGTGAGATATGGTCACACGCAAAAGTTTTCCCATTTATAGAGGAGGATTTTTGTCTAGGTTTGTCTTGTCATACAACTTTTCTTTCGGTGAAAGGAGACCGAAAAGAGGAAAGGAGCTCATGCTTGAAGTAACTCTGAATTAATTTCACCTGATCGAGTCCACCATTGTTAAGGTAGCCTCATGCTTGAACTACCCATCTAAGTAATCCAAAAATAACAAAATGGACCTGGTCTCTAAGTTTCCACGCCAAGCAAGATTCGAAGATAAAGATGAATACATGGGAGAGCTGACGGTGGTGCTAGCAAAGCCATCCAAGACGGCCGGCCTTTAGCTAGCTAGAGAAAATGGAGAGAGTTTATCCTACCTCTCAATCTCTACAATGCTTAAACCTTAAATATCAAGGAGGCACAAGTTTCTGTATTTAGTGATGTCATTGGAGTGAAAGAAACTTGTCCACACATATCATTAATTGTCGACAGTACCATTAGACATGACAATTTAATGCACATCTTGTTAACTTGAATGAAATGAGATGAAAAAAAATCAATGTCTAGGTCGAGGCTTAAATAATTGGACTAACATTCAATCTGTTAAGATAAGGGGTTGGTTCAAGTCTACCCATGAGTCTGTTTCATCCCGTTCAGAGAAAGGTTATTGGTAATTTTGGAATACTAAAAGAAAGCCCTCTTTCCTCCCCACATCGCCCCTCTTGCATACTCTCTCTCTCATATTATCCCCACCGCCACCAGTGGTGAAGCTAGAAATTTTTTAGAGGAGGGGCGAAATTTAAAAGCATACAAGGTTCCAAACAAATGTAGACAACAAAATCCTTTTATATAGTGAAAAATTTAAGTCGTTCATAATGTATTAATACAAACAAGTTACAATTGTTGCCGGCGATATTCATGTCATGAAAACGTTGCATAATAAGCTTATTATCAATAAAAGCAAAAAAATCTCTCTTAATGTAAACAACAAAGCTATCACTCAATCATTGATCTCCTATTTTGTTACGTAGTGATGTTTTGAGAATACTTATAGCAAAAAGCATTTTCTCTACTGAAACAGTTAAAGGTCGTACCCAGTGCACAAGGCTCCGCTTTACGCAGGGTCTGGGAGAGGTGAATGTCGGCTAGCCTTACCCCCATTTATGGAGAGGCTGCTCCCAAGTCAATGCAAGTTGCAACCGATAATACCAAAGTCAATGCAAGAATCTTAAAATCCAATGAAATCACGAATCTTTTGAGTGCCAAAGTCTAGTGGGAGTCTCTACAAGTCTCCGAGTGAGATTAATTACTGAAAAATGTGCTTTAATTTTGTCTTCCTTTTTCTCTTGTGGCTGCGACCCAACCCTTTTTATTTTTATTTTATATCAACTAGGCCCAAGTTTTGGGCCTAACCCCATGACTGCAATAGCCCAGGACCTCATTCATTTTTTTTGTTTTGTTTAAAAGCTTCTAGCCCAAAATTACGATAGCCCACCTCTCCCATTTGCTCACACCTTCACACACCAGCGCTGCTAGTTTTCCTTCGAGCTTCAAACCCCACCTGCGTACGAGATCTGCAAGGTGCAGGGGTTTGAATAGGGAGGGGAGAACGGGTCGCGAGTTTGGGTTTTGATGGCTGAAATTCTCTTTCATCCTCCTCTAAGATTTTTGGAACTTTGTCCCTCACAGCATTGCAAGTTTTTCGAAGGGACTGGAGAGGCGGACCGTCGCTCCTAGGCTTAATTTCCGGCAAAAGGAGGGGCGACCGCCTCTCCTTGCTCCTATGTAGCTTTGCCAGTGACCGCCACAATACCATCTCCATCCCCATCGCTACCACACCATCTTCATCCCCAACCTCCCCACCTGTTTTCCACCATTTAGCGACACTCACTAGTATCAAATATAGAGGTTGTCAAGGTCCAAATCCACTCTTCAAAAGTTTGGGCACTTATTTCATAGTGTTTAGTATCACCACTACCACCATCACCACCACCTGTATTTGTCGTCCTAATTTCCCAGCGAGGAGCTCAAACATCGATTTGCCATTAATATCATTCTATTTTATGTGACCTTATAGGTTCCAACTTAGCTGGTTGTGCATAATTTGATTTATCAAATCAATCTTTTTTTACATAATTAGAAACTATTCCAGTTTAGCCTTATAGAAGTATCCACAAACCAAACAGTAACATCTAGCAATGGCTATAAGCTACTTAGATTAGTTAGAATATGTTTGAATTCATAAAGCACATATTTCTTAGTTATGATACAATGCAATTCAGTTCTTTTATTTACTATATTCCAATTATATATTTTAGAGCTTGGAATAAATTGTCGAACTCTATTCATAAATATGATCACCCTATATACATACATACATACATACATACATACATACATACATACATACATATATATATATATATATATATATATATATATATATATATATATATATATATCATGTATATCGCTATGGCAAAAGATTTCTAGAGAAAGATCATCAATGAGTTTTTAGAATATGTACCTTCATGATTACCTAGATAAATTATTTGTTGTGCATTCACATGTCTCTATATTAATGTACATGATCTTATACCTTACTCTATAAGGCTCTGCTAAAATTTGAATACTTTGAGCGAGGCTAAAGATCATATCAACTAACACGAGATAGCTAGTGATGCCTGAATTCAAAGAATTAGTTGCATCCATAAAATGGAAGTGTAGTATAATCGACAAGCAGGTAATCTTCCATTCAGACACCTCTATGGTTGGTTGATTTTCAATAAATTCGATTTCATATATGAGGACATTCATCTCTATTCTATGTCCGAACATGTTTAGTCCAAGAGTTATTACTGAGTATGACATAAACTAGCATTTTTGGATGTTTGATAGTCCACCCGATTTTCCTATAAATAGGAACTTAATTTTATGGAATGTGTCCCCGGATTAGAACTCATTTACGATCTCATCCCTATAACTTAAGGTATTCCTTAGACTCACCCTAATCAATAACAAACATTCCTAATCCTCTATTAGGTGACGAATGTTCACACTTGATCTTGTTGGTGATGATTCAACATTCAATTGTCATGAACAACCAATTACGTGTTGCCAAATCAATTTCTTTCGATCATATTCCAACACTTTCATTGCCCATCTATAGCTGGCTAACTTCGTAGGGGTTGAAGTGACAAGTCTCTTATGGTCTAAGGTCAGAACGTATCATAGATGGGTGGCAGTACACTTAGATAGTACGAGGATATGTTCACATGCTAGAACCATGTGATTTGATCTGAGGCTGACCTTTTCAAGCTTCTCTATCCTTTTTTCTGGCTCCTTAGCCTAAAACAAAGACATTGGCCTACCTCATGCAGGCATGTCCAACTACCAATTAATGTGGCTTCTTTGTTAGTTTGGCAACACATTGACACACCCCTACCCGATTAATCATTAGACTAAGGGTAGAGATGTGTTGGCCATCACCACAGTGGTGACAAAGCCATACGAATAGATTAAAGAGTGTCACAATTCTAGGATGTGTGTTAAAGATCAGAAGAAGATGAAGGCTCAAGCTCTCTCGCTGAACAAAGGTTTGGATCACGTATCTACATTTCAAATTGGCATTTCTCCCTTCTTGACTAATGTTGTTTGCCTAGTCAAGTCTGGTCGCGTGCATCACTTAAATAATCATGTGAGCATTACACTCTTTACTAAGTCAGCATCTACTCAAAGTTTGAGCGGTCAGCATTGCACCATGGTTTAAGGTTGGTGGAGTATAGAAAAAGATCCAACATATCAGCTCATCCTTGGTTCTAGCCACAGTTTTTTTAGAAATCCCAGATGAAAAAAAAAATTCCTTCTTGGGAAGTTGTTTGTTCATCTATCATATAGAGGTTGGACATTAGCTCAGTTTTGCACTTTATCTTTACTTGAGCTTATAGCTTTCATATTTAGGTCTTTAGGACCATTTCAAACCTTCTCAATCTATTGATGTTCGATTGAGTAGATTTGGTAGTTGTTGATCAATCTCCATTTTGTATTATAGCTCCCATATTTAGATCTTTAGGTAAAGATCTTTTCTAAATCTTCTCAATCTGTAGATTTTCGATTGAAGAGATTTGTTTGTTGTTGATGGATCTATACTTTGCATCACATCTCATTCTGATTCTAAAGTTTCTCTTCTTAGCTAGATTTGCATTTCATAGAAGTGATCTGAGTTTAGCTCAGGTTTTGATTGTGTCTTTGGTTTGAGCTTATAGCTCCTGCATTTAGATATTTTAGGAAAGATTCATTTCAAATCATCTCAATCTGTTGATGTTCGATTGAGGATATTTGTATTTTATTTCTGGTATTTTGCATCACATCTTAGTCTCATATATATTACTTATGAGACAAGTGAAAAGTGAGAGTTAAGCTGGCACAACTGTGAAGACCGAACTCATCCATTTAATGAAATATAAGTTATACAAAGGTACAAGCTGCTTCTTTAGTCTAGCTTAGGATTAAGCTTGTGTATGTGATACTTTGTATAAACTTGTTTTTCTACTAGTGGACGGAGCTCCTGGGAATTCTTCCGTTTTTTACCAAGTTAATGGTTTTCCGCTGTGTGTGTGTATAATTAATCTCTTCCTGCACCTTACCGGTTATCCTAATTGCCTTGTTACATGGTTGTTCGAATCTTGGATTGATTTAAATTATAAGTTTTGAACAACACCTATATCAATTATTCATTCTAATTTTTACAGACAAAACTAGGATCCTGTGTCTAGTTAAATTCATATATGTT